TTTGCAGTCCATACAAAACCTCCATCTGCTTCCTTTTGTTCTTTGCCCGGGTAATGGTCGTCTTAAAGAGCTTGCAATACAGCTCCACCGCCAGGGGGCTGTCGTCGTTCCCAGGGATGGGGTACGTGATGATGGAGGGGTTGCAGTTAGTGTCCACCACTCCCACAGTGGGGATGTTCATCTTGGCGGCATCCCGAATGGCCACGTGCGGCTCGAAGACGTTGTTCAGGGTGCTGATGAAGATGAGGAGGTCGGGCAGGCGAATCCCGCTCCCGTACTGGACATGGGCATTGGTCAGCAGGCCCCCCTGCCAGTAGCGGGTGTGGGCGTACTCCCCGCAGTCCTTGGCCGTGACCTCCACCAGGTGGCCGAACTGACGGTTGCGGTTGATGAAGAGGATGATCCCTTTGCGGTAGGCGACATGGGCTGTGAAGTTCAGAGCCAGCTGGAGGTGTTTCATCGTCTGATCCAAGTTTATAATGTCCTGATCAAGGCGGCAGCCAAAGATATATGGCTCCATAAACCTGGGGAAGGAGAATGAGACATAAAGAACTCGGAACATTTTAATTTTTTGACTGACATTTCCAAATGCTCCCTGCCCCTATAGAAACTCTCCTACATTGGGGCATCAGCCAGCCTCTAACCAATGGGAGTCAAGGAGAAAATTTGCCAGGGGGCAGGTTATTCCATAATTGCCTTCTTGCACCTTCTTCTGACGGATCTGCTGCTCGCCGCTGTCAGAGACAGGCCACTGGGCTAGAAGGACCTTGGGTCTGATCCTGTCTGGCAATTCCTGTGTTCCATTTAAGGGAAAGGGCAGTTAAGGCCCTGATCAACCAATCAGATCCCTGCACCACGCCCCGATAGACAGGGGCTTGCCCAGGTGCATCTGGTTTTATTTTGGTTCTAAACCAACCCACCGGCCACTGAGCTCATTACACTGGACTCCCAGAATATCAGCAATACGAAGAAATCTTTGGATGCCTAAAACCTTTTGCTTCCAATGCTGCATGCCCGTGTGACAGCAAATAAAATAACCTTCTCTGTGCTAGGACAGTCAAACACAGACTTCTTGCCAAAGTCATTAGGAAGGAGCCACCTTACAAGCACTTTACAGGGCAAATAATCCTACCCTTCTTTTAACTAAAGACCGGATCCAAAGGTGATGGAAATACACTCATTGACTCAATGGGTATTGGCTCAACCCCAAGGCTCCACATCAAAGTTGTGTAACTTACCTGTGACGGCAACCTTTTTTATGCCCCAAGTGCACTCTGGCATCAAAGAGCTCTTTCAGGGAGAAGAGCTCCTTCACGTTGAAGAAGTCCGGGTGTCTGAGGGGCTCGGTTATAAGCTTGTCATTAATAACTGAAAGAAGGACAAAAAAAGAGGTTTGAGCTCTGCCCCCAGTTTGTGCAGCACAAAGGTTCGGTTGTGGTGTGAAAAGAAGAGCGTCGTTTAGTCCTGGATTGCCAATAACAGCACAATGTTTGGGTGTGTATATGGCGGTTAATGCATTTATACAATCCCTTCCATCCAAGTATCTTAGAGCTTTGCACTTCAAGACTCATATTATTTCTCTCTTCTTACATACAGGGAACCAGATATACAGAGAAGTTAAGTGACTTCCCCCAGGTCACACTGGAAGTCTGTGGCAGAGCCAGGAGTCCTGACTCTCAATCCCAGACTTTAGCCACAAAATCTTCCTTCCTCTCCTACCCTGTTTCCCCGAAAATAAGACAGTGTCTTATATTAATTTTTGCTCCCAAAGATGCGCTAGGTCTTATTTTCAGGGGATGTCTTATTTTTCAGAAATGAAAAATGCCTTATTATCAGTGGATGCCTTATTATCGGGGAGGTCTTATTATCGGGGGGATGCCTTATATTACAACGAGAGGCAAAACTGTAAGTAGGCCTTATTTTCGGAGGATGTCTTATTTTCGGGGAAACAGGGTAGGTGCGTGATCAGATAGGTTAGAGGGGAATCTAATGTACTGAAAATCACATGCATGGACAATCTGAAAATTGAAGTGGCCAACAGAGTTTAGAAGAGATGCTCATTAATTTAGTGATACATTATCTTCTGGCTTAAAGCAAACCTGGTGGCTATCAGAGAGGGATGGTTGGCTTAACTCAACTTGCTTTGGATAGTAGAAGCCAAATAGCCTGGTTGCTTTCACTCTCCTAAAGTAGGTGGGGTCAGGACTCTTACCAGCGGGGTCCACCTGCTGATTCGCTTCCTGGGCAAGAAGAGTTCCAAAAAGTCGACTGCTGAGCTGTGAGGTATTGGGAGCAGCTTTCCCCAGGGACCCCAGGCAGCGAAACCTTGGTACCCCTGACAATGGAGAGAAGGAAGAAATTAAACAAAAGCCTTAAACAGATGGGTAGTAAAATAAAGACACCAATCAGAATACGTTGTAGCACCCACAAACACTAAGGCTTCCCAAGTCCTTGAAACACAGGTTAATATTAGACCCACTTCCCGGAGGCGCAAACCGTGGAGAAGTGGCTTGCGCAGGGCCTCTCAGAGTTAGGCCTAGTCTTCACTTACCGGCTGGTCCGGCGGCACGCCATCGATGTTCTGGGATCGATTTATCGCGTCTGGTTAAGACGCGATAAATCGATCCCGGATCGATCCCGGAAGTGCTCACAGTCGGCGCCGGTACTCCAGCTCGCCGAGAGGAGTACGCGGCGTCGACGGGGGGAGACTTCCGGCCGCGTCTGGACCGCGGTAAGTTCGGACTAAGGTACTTCAAATTCAGCTACGTTATTAACGTAGCTGAATTTGCGTACCTTAGTCCGAAGTCCGGACTAAGTGGGGACCAGGCCTTAGTTGCCTATCTTTAGGAATTCATTTTTAAATAAAGGGAGGAGGGATAGCTCAGTGGTTTGAGCATTGGCCTGCTAAACCCAGGGTTGTGAGTTCAATCCTTGAGGGGGCCACTTAGGAATCTGGGGCAAAATCAGTAATTGATCCTGCTAGTGAAGGCAGAGGGCTGGACTCGATGATTTCAAGGTCCCTTCCAGTTTTAGGAGATAGGATATCTCCATTAATTTTTTTTTAAATACTGGCTGCCATTTGCACATAAAAATCAGGAAATTGCATGTGTAGATGGGTAATTGTGTGTGTGTGTAGATAATTAGGTCCCAGGCAGACTGCGAAGAGCTACAAAAGGATCTCTCAAAACTGTGTGACTGGGCAACAAAATGGCAGATGAAATTCAATGTTGATAAATGCAAAGTAATGCACATTGGGAAACATAATCCCAATTATACATATAAAATGGTGGGTTCTAAATTAGCTGTTACCACTCAAGAAAGAGATCTTGTAGTCACTGTGGATAGTCTGAAAACATCCACTCAATGTGCAGCGGCAGTCAAAAAAGCAAACAGCATGTTGGGAATCATAAAGAAAGGGATAGATAATAGGACAGAAAATATCATATTGCCTCTATATAAATCCATGGTACGCCCATATCTTGAATACTGCATGCAGATGTGGTTGCCCCATCTCAAAAAAGATATAATGGAATTGGAAAAGGTTCAGAAAAGGGCAACAAAATTGATTAGGGGTATGGAACAGCTCCGTGTGAGGGGAGATTAATAAGACTGGGACTTTTCAGCTTGGAAAAGAGACAACTAAAGGGGGATATGATTGAGGTCTATATAATCATGACTGGTGTGGAGAAAGTAAATAAGGAAGCTTCTCATAACACAAGAACTAGGGGTCACCAAATGAAATTAATAGGCAGCAGGTTTAAAACAAACCAAAGGAAGTATTTCTTCACACAATGCACAGTCAACCTGTGGAACTCCTTGCCAGAGGATATTGTAAAGGCCAAGACTATAACAGGGTTCAAAAAAGAACTAGATAAATTAATGGAGGATAGCTCCATCAACGGCTATTAGCCAGGATGGGCAGGGATAGTGTCCCTAGCTTCTGTTTGCCAGAAGCTGGGAATGAGCGGCAGGGAATGGATCACTTGATGATTACCTGTTCTTTTCATTCCCTCTGGGGCACCTGGCATTGGAAGACAGGATACTGGGCTAGATGGACCTTTGCTCTGACCCAATATGGACGTTCTTATGTTTTTATGTTCTAATTAGATGTACGATGTGGCTTTTTGCAGTTGTGCCAGTTATGTTCAGGATTGAAAATATGTACCCATTTTGTTAAAGGCCATTTTCACAGAATAAAAAGGAATACATGCTATTTTAAGTAGCCAAGGATAATAGAAAATATGGCATAGTTCACCCCGATTTTATACACAGCTGGTTCAGGTATGTCCTCCTGTGATACTTCCCATGCTCTAACAAATAACAGACAAACCTATTAATATTCAGTCCCACAGATGCCCCAGCCCAAGTGCTGAAGTGAATAATGGTTATGGCTATGTGCAATACACAGGGATCATAAACAGTTAATCTTCACCAAAAGGGAAAATGAAATATTGTTTATCATTTTTAATAAAGAGAATAAATTAGGCTTCAAATATCATAGTGCATCTTTAAATGCTGGTTACAGCTCGTGTACGCCGAGCGAATTAGCAACTGAATAAGTGAGTCAGGGGTTATCAACTGAATAATTACCTTACGATCCACTTTGCATTATACTGGGCACTGTGTCCATGGTAGCTAGCAATCTGGCCACCTGCTTATGATGGCTGTACAGATTACCAGCTTTGTCTGATGAACTAAAATGGGAGCTTTAATCTAGTCGTTAAGTCCTAACTCTGCTAGTAAAATCAGTCACGTGATGGAAAAATGCATTTTTCTGCCCCATTCATTTATTCATTTATTTTTTATGATGACCAATCTTTGCACAATGTCAAACATAACTCTTCAGATCCAGCCTGCAAATGCAACTTGGGTCTGCCGATGTGCTTTATTCTTCATCATAAATCCAGTTCTAGCAAATGATAAAGGAAAGAGTTAAAAAGAATTCCATTGCACGCATTCCTTCCCCCGGCTATGCATCACATTGTGGGATTTCTATCAAAGCTCAAGTGTAGGACTTACAAAATAATTGCAAGCACAACTGTTGTTATTAAAAACATATATAACAACACTATATAGGGCTCAGAAATACCTGTTATGAGAAGTAAATTAAATGTAAACATGTGGTTTGGTTTTATTAATCTAGTAATGCTCCATGTTTGTTATAACATCACCTCTGAGAGCCACGAAGTATAGAAATTGGAGCAGCTGTTGTAATGAGGTTGATTATAATGAGTTTTAAGGCAACTTGTTCCTCACAGCAGCAGGTATGTAAAGGGGGGCACCATGGTCCTGTAGAATGGGCACTGGACAAGAGTCAGGACCTATCTCGATTATTGCCACTGACTTGCTGACTAAAATTGGTAAAGTCACTTTAAGCTGTCTGTGCCTCGGTTTCCCTCTCTGTAAAACAAAGAGAACAATATTACACTTGAGATCAGTGGCTGAAAAGCACTATATAAGCACAAGGATCATCCAAGAGACTGGAGTGTTATTTCTCAGGCTAATGATGTGGAAATTGACATAATCTTACATTTTCTGTAAAGACCGAGGGGGAGGTGCTGATCTCAGTTAGTCTGGTGTAAATGCAGAACATCCTCATTGAACACAATGGTGGGATGGCTTCTTGACACTATTGTAAGTGAGACCAGCATCCAGGTCAGCTTGTCTGCCTGAATCAACGCTAAAAGCCAGTTCTCCTCTCACGCATCAGTGCAAATCTCATGGCACTCCATTGATATGAGAGGAGAGTTGGGCTGGCATAGAAGGAGGCTTAGAAATAGGAAATACAGGGACTACTATTCACATACCATATGAGTTATTCCAGCTAAAACATATTTCCAGGAATATACGTATTTCTCTACTGAAAAGAAACCCTAAATTTTGTTCTGCATAATAAAAAGGGCTCAAGCTTGAAAAAATCAGGAGGGAAAAAATAGAACTGTAAGGTTTTTCTTTGTTGAGACTTATTTGATTTTTTTTTTTACTTTTTTTTTTGTACGTGGTGGGGGGGAATCCTAAACTTTGCATTTCAATGGGTTTTTTATTATTATTATAAATCCATCTGTGCACACACAAAAAAGTCTTTTCTGTGCTGTACAAGGCACAATTTAAGGCAGCTTTCAGAAATAAAAGGCAGAACAAATGTTATTGTTATTCCCAATATACAGATGTTTATTCTTATCTTTTTTCCCCCCTTTCTTTCTTTATTTCTACTACTGTCTTTTAGGTGACATCATAAGTAGGACTTGTCTCTTTACCGTCTTCCAAAGACTTTTGTTTTCTGGGACAGGAGCCTATTATGATGTCACACACTGGAACAGTAATAATCTCCCCCACTCTCGAAAGTCTTAATAGAAGACAATGAAAGGAACCATATTGTTTTCTGCTGGCACTAAATAAAGGAAGCAAGGAAGGGGGGAAAAATTGCACACGAGAAAGCCAGTCAATGTGGCATATTGCTTCTTGAAGAAATGTTTCAGGAAAGGGGGAGAGGGGCCTATACTTAATAGCTGATGAGTGACATTTTAATTGCTAGGTCACTCACCAGCCTATACAGCACGTGAAGGATTCAAGGGCCCAATTCTGTGAGATTCAAGGAGATACTGAATGCTCTCAAATTCTATTAGTCATTCATTACCTTGCAGTATCAAGCCTTTCAGACCTGCTTGCAGTGTGAGGTTCTGTTCATGAGCTGCACCATCACCATCACTGGGGCTGCCAGGGGCCAGTTTGGATTCAGTGCTGGTACCTCCTTCACTTCCATCATAGGTACTGATATGACCCCTATTATTGCGGGGCTGAGCTCATCCCAATTTCTAACGTATTTATCCCCACAGTGCCCCTGTGCAGCAGGGAAGCACTATCATCCTCATTTTACAGAGGGGAAACTGAGGCACGGAGCAGCTGGATGACTTGCCCAAGGTCCCATGGGAAGACGGTGGTAGAGCAGGGACTTGAAGCCTGGTCTCCTGAGTTCTACGCTAGCGCTGTAACCACTGGAGCTAATGGTAGGCCAAAAAAAAAAAAAGTCTTCCGCTCAGCTGCTAGTAATAAATCCCTTATAACATTTCTGTGCTCTAGTGAATAGAGGAGTTAAGAACATGCAATTTTTGCATCTGCCACACTTACAGCTCAGAGAGAATGTTGTGTGCTTTGGATCGGACTGCAGTGCACATTTCTAGCTAACAGAATATGGTCACAGATGCTTATCCGGAGGCAAAGTTGTACGGAGTAAGGCCTGTCTCTTTTCTCACAAATGATATTCCCCAAGCCAGGCAAAGCTGGTCTGCCTCTACAGTGCTATGCCTCCAGCCTGAATTCTAAACACATTGCTCAGGGGACTGACTTCCATATGTAGTTCTAGGAGTCCTTC